TTAGGTTGGACAGGGCTGAACTCACCCTGGACACTCTCACTTTCTGACCTCCCACAATGTCATTATTGGGGCTCGGGGGAAAACCAAGAGGAAAGGGCCTCTTTTTTTGCCTTTGCTATGGCAGAATGTTGGGAAAACACACCGGGAAAGTGACAGGAAAAGCGCTCCTTTAAAAGGAATATTTTATCAACACAACGCCGGGGGGAGGAGAGGGCATTAATTTCATTTGTGCATCTCCCCACAGGAGGGAGACAACGGCCTTTCCTAAATCTCCCTCCCTCTGCCTCTGTTTCAGGGGTATCTTTCGAGTTTGTTCAACTGGAAAACCAAGGTGAGCTAAGCCCAGCCCAGCTGGGACAGCCAGGGCTAGTGAGGAAGAGCAGGGATTCTGGGATCCAGCACGGAGCCATGTGTTGGTTCTCAGAGGGTTTTGCTGTTCTCCTGCAGCTGGGGCTCCTCTTCCCTGCCTTTGTGGCAAAACCCCTCGGATTCCCCTTGGAAGCAGCCTGCTTTCCCTCTTGTCAGGCTTTCTGTGGCATATGGAAAAGCCTTCGGCTTTGATCCGAAGCAGCTGGTTCCTGACTCAGCCGGAGCAAGTTGCACAGGGAGAGGCAGATCAGCTGGAGAGACCTCGGAGCTGCTGGAAACATAAACATTCAATGCTGGGGTGGCTTTTTTGTTCCCTTTCTTCCCCAGTTTAACTTTTTTACGAGCTGAACCGGAGCCAGCTGTTCTCTGGCCAGGCCAAAATCTCTGCCAGGCTCAAGTTTTTAGATCTATACTGTAAATTCTGCATTTTTAGTTCCTCCTAACGCAGAGGCTGCTCCGAAAAGTGCGGAGCCTTACGAGCACGATGGAGCTCTAACCCGCTTCTTTTCCCCTCATAAACGCTGCCATTTTCCATTAAATACCCTTAAAATGAACCCCCTGCACCAGCCATCTGTCCCTGGGCACCCTCCTTCCCCAGTGATCATCCCATGGGAAGCAGGAAGGATAAAGGGGGTAAAACCACCTCGTGAGGGGTCGCGCGGCGCGAAAACAGATCTGCGGAGCGACGCGTTGGGGAGGGGGGATGGAGGCTCCCGTTTTCTGGCTGATTTTAAAAACCAAGCTGCTGCAGAACCAGGAGCAGGAGGCAAAGCCCCAGCTGGCCCCGGTGATATTTCCTCCCTGGCACGCGCCGGATCCACGCCGGTGAAGATCTCGAGGTATCCCCAGAGTCGCCCTTTAGAGATAACTCATCTTGGGGCCTCCGCCACCCACACGGAGAGGAGAGATTTCCTGGCGCGTGGGTGGCTCTGCTTTTTTTCTTCTGCAGAAAACCCAAGTTTGCTCATTTTTCACCCTCTGCCACCCAGCCCGGGGCCCCCCACTGGGGTCTGGGGCTCTCTCCCAGCTCCTCCATCCCTTGCTGGTGGCAACTGGTTAGCCCTGGCCAAGACCTTTCTGCTGTCAGCATCTCCTCTCAGTTCCTGGCCAGATTTCCAAATTATGGCTTTTAATGCATGGGAAAAAAAAAAAAAAAAAAAAAAGAAGGGAGAGGTTGTTAAAAGGTACAGGTACCTCACTAATTAGTCAGACTCACGCTAATGAAGCAGCGGTCCTGGTTCCCATCCGGGTGAGGCATTAAAGCCACCCAAGGCGATGTCACTCATTCCATTAGGAACAACAAATGACTTCAAATATGTGTTAACAGGTACCAAATTCAATTGGGGCAGCAGTGAATCCGAGCTACACCATTCCGGGGGCCACTTGGGTCATGACAGGACCATTCTTCTGTCCCTTGGTCTGTCACCACATCATCTTGCAGATGGATGGAAGCAGTGACACCCTACATGAGGGTTTAGGTGTTTCTTTAACAAAAATATTCATCTATTTAACAAAATCAACGTATTTTTATCTGTAGCCAAACTTTGCTGTTTACAGTAGCCCCTGGGGACACAGAACACACTGATGAGGGAGCAAAGGCTCGATTTGGGGTTGGTTTATTTTAAATTCAGCTCCTCACTGCTCACTTGGGATGGGAAAAACCCAGGTTTGCTCCCTGCCTGACACGGGGGATACGGAGCCACAGTGCAGGGAAAGCAATGCCTGGTAACTCCCTCTGGATGGGAGAGGGGCTGGGGGGGCAGGTTTGGGTTTTTTTTTGGTGCTGGTGATGTCACCCACAGGTGCCTGAGCCTGGTGGCAGCTCGGTGCACGTCCCACGGCTGCTGTCCCCACATCTGTGCCCGGCTCTGTAACCCACGTGCTGTCCCGCTCCGCTGAGCATCCCTGAGTCCCCCTGCTCTCCCTCCTCTCCCCGGTCAGGAAAACCTCCTCCTCTCCCTCCTCTCCCTTCTCCCTTGGCTCCTGGACCACCTCGGAGGAGCCCCGGGCGCCGCGGCAGCTCCCGCCTTCCCGCGGCTGCGAGCCGGCGGCACCGCGCCGTGGTAAAGGTCAGGCTCCAAGCCCGGCTCAGATAAAGCCTGGTGTTTGAGGTGTGTGGCTTAAACCTGATTTTATCTGCCAGCGCCTGAGTGAAATACCATTTGTCACGATGGTTGGAGGAGAAGGAGGAGAACAAGGCATCTTTTTTTTTTTTTTCCGTTGCTGTGTTGTTCAGTTCAAAATGGGTTTGGTGAGCAGCTGCCGGGTGAAGGAGGGGGGCTGTTAGGGGGGGGGTTTCCCTGTGATACTGTGGGTTTTCACCAGACACACTCTCCTTTCCTCCATCCTCCTCCCTACCTGCTTCTCAGTGGCAGGGACAGCCTGCTGGGATTGGGCTGGACACGATGATCTTGAAAGTCTTTTCCAACCTAAGTGATTCCATGACAGCACAGAGGGAGGGCTGAGATGCCATGGTGGAGACCAGGAAGCTGCAGCGACATGGGATCCCCACTATTCCCATTCTCCATCCCTCTCCACCTCCCCTCTCCTTTCTCTCTTCTCATTTCCATGTGGGAGACAGGACAGCCCCCTACAACACAGATGCTGGTGGGTCCAGGGGAGCTTTGCTAAAGGCCACCAGCAGCTGTCGGTGCTGCAGGAGGAGAGCTGGGATGTGGCATCTCCAAAAGAGCATCCGCAGGGAGCTGGGCAGTGGATGCTGCAGAGCCCGAGGCAGCGGTGAGGGGCAGGTTTCAAGGCCCCCTCTCTCCCTCCGTGCCCGCAGACGGGCACGGTGCCAGGCTGCCGAAAATCCATGACCTTTGGGATTGTGGCTTCGGTGCAAATACCTCCGAGATGGCTCACAACAACAGGAACGAGGACACCGTCGAAACGGATTTGTTCCAGGAGGCTGGTGCTGTGATTCACGGGGGGAAAATGCGCTCAGAGAAAGGGGGGGGGGGACACCGGTGGCTCTCCAAAAACCCGAGGGCGGGATGAGCCCCGCGAGAAGGGCCGGCTCAGTTTGGGGGTTGAGAAGGACTGGCTGTTCCCCATCACCTTCTGCTCGCATGAGCCGCCCACACAGAAACCAAACCGAGCCAGGAGCAGAAAACAGACGCAGCATCTGCCGGCTGGTCCCGACAGCCCCGGTGCCTGCGGAGCGACCCCCGCGCTCTGCCTCCGGTGGCTCCCGGATCCAAGGGAAGCGGAGGGAAGCAGGGATCCCTCACGGAGCCCCTCCGGCTCCGTGCCGCGGGCACCGCTGCCGGAGGGCTGGGAAAGGAGGCACAAGCCTGATTTCCAGCCCTGCCTCTCCCTCACGTTCCCTGTGTGGAAAGGTGACGGTGCGGCCAAACTGGCTGGAGGGACCCTCGAGCCTTTCCCTTCTGCTGCCTGTCCCTGCTTTCAAATTTTTACCTAATGAGTTTTTTTTCCTAATGAATTTCCCAAATTATTTTCGCCCCCCCCCCAACACCTGCACCCCGTTTTCCTTTCCATCCCGTTGGAGCAAAGTGAAGGGGGTGGGAACAGAGCCAGGGTGGCGGTCAGGGGTGCTCCAGTAGTGTGCGGGACCACCCTGGACTCTCATGGATGTGTTGGGGGAATCCTGGGTGGGATGGGGTCCTCAGCATCGGCTCCGTCAGCAGCGCTCAGCCCCTGCAGCGGCTGCGCTGGGTTCTTCCTCTGCGTGGTCCTTCCCCTCCATCATCCTTCCTCTCCATTGTCCTTCCTCCTCTCCACAGTGCTTCTTCCTCTCCATGGTCCTTCCTCACGTGGAGTCCTTTCTCTCCATGGAGTGTGCAAGCTGTGCACGTACAGAGCAAGTGTTGTACATAAGGGGTGAGCCTGTGGTACATGAGGGGAGTGTGCACAGTGCAAGGAGTGTGTGTGTGTGTAAGCTGAGTGCGTGAGGGGTATCTGAGGGTGTGAGTGCACAGGACAAGGGTGGATACGTAAAGGTGTGTGTATAGTGCAAGGGGGTTGTGTACATGTGTGAATGCAAGAGGAGCGTGTAAAGGTGTGGATAAAGTGTGTGTAAATAGTGAAAGGAGCGTGTGTGTAAGGGCGTGAGTGCAAGAGAAGCGTGTAAAGGTGTGGGTACACAGCACAAGGGGGGCTGTGAGTGCACACGCGTGTGTGTGAGCCTGTGAGCGCACACATGTGCGCTCACAGGCTCACACACACGCGTGTGCACTCCCAACCTTGTACACACACACATGTGCGCTCACAGGCTCACGCACACGCGTGTGCACTCCCAACCTCGTACACACACACACATGTGCGCTCACAGGCTCACACACACGCGTGTGCACTCCCAACCTTGTACGCACACACATGTGCACTCACAGGCTCACACACACGTGTGTGCACTCCCAACCTCGTACACACACACACGTGCGCTCACAGTGCGTGTGCAGGGGTGGCAGTGCCCGGGGCACCGCAGCGGTCTCCGGGCGGTCCCCGCGGGCGGTGCCGGCGGTGCGGGGCGGTCCCCGGGGCGGTGCCGGAGCCGCAGCCGGGGCGGTGCCGTGTCCCGTCTCGGGGGCGGTGCCGTGGCCGGGGCGGTGCCGGGGGGCCGGGGGAGGCCGGGGCGGTGCTGGGGCTGTAAACACGGGGCGGAGCGGGGTCGTGGCCGGCGCCGTTCCCGCGCACACCCGAGCGCAGCGGCGGCCGGGGCCGCTCCAGCGGCGGCAGCACCGTGAGCGGGGGGCCGGGGGAGCGCGGGGCTTGGGGGGGGAAGGGGGCCGCGGCGGGGCAGGACGGGGGCCGGGGCCGGGCCGGGCTGGGCGCTCGGCAGAACAATGGGGCGGGCGGGCGGAGGGCCGGGCCGGCCCCGCTGACGGCGCTCCCCGCGCTCCGCTCCCCGCAGGCAGCCCCGATGGCCAAGCAGCCCCCCGAGGTGAAGGCGCGACGCGACGGCGAGGGCGGGCGGCTGCCGGCGGCCGAGGGGGGGCCGGGCCCGGGCGCGCAGCTGCGCCCCGGCGCTCCCGCCGCCCTGCCCGGGGCCGGCAGCGGGAACGGGAACGGCTCCGGCGCGGCCGCGGCGCGGGGCCCGCCCGCCAGCCCCGGCCCCTTCGCCACCCGCTCGCCGCTCTTCATCTTCGTGCGGAGGTCGCCGCTGCTGCCGCGCTCCTCCAGCGGGTACTTCTCCTTCGACGCCGAGCGCAGCCCCGGGCCCCTGTGCTGCGACAAGGCCACGCAGACCCCCAGCCCGCCCTGCCAGGCGCTCAGCCACTGCCTCAGCGCCATGGGTAAGGGCTGCGGCCGGGCTCCGCATCCTCTGCCTCCCTCCGCGCCTGGCCGGGATCCCTTTCCCTCCCCTCCTCACCTGGCCGGAGTCCCCTTCCCTTCCCCTCCTCACCTGGCCGGAGTCCCCTTCCCTTCCCCTCCTCACCTGGCTGGGTTCCCCTTCCCTTCCGTTCTCTTCCTCACCTGACCGGGCTTCCCTTCCCCTCCTCACCTGACCGGGCTTCTCTTCCCTTCCCCTCCTCACCTGGCTGGGCTTCTCTTCCCTTCCCCTCCTCACCTGACCGGGCTTCCCTTCCCCTCCTCACCTGACCGGGCTTCTCTTCCCTTCCCCTCCTCACCTGGCTGGGCTTCTCTTCCCTTCCCCTCCTCACCTGACCGGGCTTCTCTTCCCTTCCCCTCCTCACCTGGCTGGGCTTCCCTTCCTTAAGAATCATGGAAAAGGCGGGTTCTCATAGGGGTCTGCAAAGGTGCGAGTGCACAGTGCAAGGAGAAATACGTAGAGATGTGAATACTCTGTGCAAGGGGGGTTGGAAGTGCATGAGAGGTCCTGCTCCTCGCCTGCCTTGGCTTCCCTCACCTTTTGCTCCTTGCCTGGCTTGGTTTTCCTCAGAATGATGGAGAAACACGGGTTCCTGTAGGGGTGTGCAAGGACGTGACTGCGCAGTGCCAGGGGGTTGTGTGCGGGTGTGAGTGCCAGAGGGGTGTGTAAGGTGTGAGTACACAGTGCCAGGGGGTTGTAAGTGCACGAGGGGTCCTGCTCCTCACCCGCCTCGGCTTCCCCTGGCACGATGGAAGCCGCGGGTTCTCCCGGTTGTGTGACACACCTGCAGCAGCACCTCCCGCATCCCACCCTCTGGATTTTGGAAGCCTGGCTGTCCCGAGCTGGCCGTGGGCTGGCCGCTGGCCCGGCACTCTGGGATTTGTGGGAGCTGGCCGGGCCCGCTGAGCAAACCCTGTGCCGGGGAACTCCCGCGTGTCCAGCGCCGGGGTTTTGATTACTATGATGTTTATTCTTTTCCGGGCTGGGTCAGTCCCTGCCAAGGGAGGAGGGGACAGAGTCGAGTCCAGCTTCCTACTCTGGGCTTACTCTTCCAGGGCTGTTTTGCCGAGCAAGTGGCTTCTGGCTCGTGCGTCGCTCCCGGTTCTCTCTGGGCTCTCAGTGTTGGAGGCGAAGGGGTCACGGAACCCAAAATCCCGCTGGGAAGCGGCGTGGAGGCGGGCGGGGGGGTGTTTACATGTGGCTTTGCCAGGTAAAGCCTCTCGGGCGGGGAAAACCTGCCCACGTGTCCAGCATTCTCCTCTCCTGATTAATTCCCCTTAGCTGGGAGAAACCTTTTGACTTCCACCGGGTGAAACCAGGGCGAGGTGGGGGGGACGACAAACACCGACTCCCAGCTTTCTGGGATCAAAACACCGTCTTTTTTTGTCGGCGGTGTTTTTGCTTCCTCCCGGCTCCGGGCTGTGGTTATGGCTGCGGAGGCCTTGCTGGAACGTGCCCTTAGGAAAGATTTTGGGACATTATTGCAGTAATTACAGCTTAATGCAGTTTCACAACCTCACGTTGGCACGGCCAGGGCGAGGATGCTCCTGGAGTTCCACAGCTTCAGGTTCTTTTTCCCGGGAAGAAATGGACGTTTTCCCCGATTTTTTTATTTTTTTTTTCTTCCCAAGTTCCTGCATTCTCATCAGCTGTTTTAGTGGAGCCTGTGCTCTGTTAGTGTTGCCAGGGGCATCATCCTAAACAACTATAAGCAAATGGAAAATTCTTGGCGCTGCTTGACCGGGACCCTTGGATGTTCCCAAACGCGATTAAACTGGGAATGTGTAGGTGTGGAGCTGTTTTATCCCTGTCTGGGACCACAACTCCCAGGCTGTGACTTCCCAGGCAGCTCTCCCTGAGAGATATCCCTGGCTTTGCCCTGCACACCTCTCCCTCAGTCCCTTTGCCTTGGCAGTGTCCCGCCGGATGCGTGCCGTTAAGTTTTCCGCATGGAAGTGGGTCAGTCCCTCGGGAAGGAAGCAAAGGGTATATTTTTGTTGTGCTTTTATGTACTGATTTTTATCTGTGGTGAGCAGAGACCGTGAGGTGGAGAGTTTCTCTCAGAAGCACAAGCAAGTGGCCTTTAATAATAACAATAATAATAATAATAATAATAAACAGGCGCTTCCTGCGAGCAGGAGCGACGGATGCTCCCAGCCTCTCCCGTGGGCAGCAGGGAATTGCTCCAAGGCTGCTCCAGCACAGCAAGCTCGTGCTCTGCCCCAAAACTCCCTCTTCTAAACCTCGTAAAAACCTTCCCCAAAGTTTATGGTGGGGGCAAAAAAAAAAAAGGTGGAGGCAGCCCTTGGGAATGCTGGGATGCCTCGTGTTGTGTGAGGAGGAGTCCTTGGTGGGGAGGTGGTGGATGCCTCCAAAACCTTTTCTTTTTTTTATTTTGGAAATGAGACAGTGAGGGGAGGTTCTGGGATTCTGGGATGGGAGGGAGGAAGGGTTGTGTTGTTTGCTTGGCATGTCCAGGAAGATGCTTTTGGGGATGGGTAGGAGAGGAGCAGGGATGAGCCGATTTGGTTGTGCCAGGGGAGGTACAGGGGAAAAGGATGATGATCCTGCTTTTTGGGGATGAGATTGGGAGGGTTGGTGGGTGCCCTGCTGGGAGCATAAATTACCCAAAGACAAGAAACTCACCTTTTGGGGGGGGGTTGGGAGACTCTTTGCCTGATGTTTTGTGTCCCAGTGGGAGAGGATCATGTCCTTCCATTGGGTTTTCCATCTGCGTGGCTTTTGGGAATGTGTTTGGAGCAAGTGCTCTGTAAATGGGCTGCTCTGATCCTGATCATTTTCCCGTGGGAAGAGAAGCATCGTGAGCCTCTTGTTGCCCACTAAGGAGATCCTCCCCGTGGAAATAGGTGGATTTAAGGGGAAAACCTGGAGCCGGGAAGCTGGTGGGGGTGTCCGGTGGAGCTGCTGCTGCCATTTCCTCGGAGGAGGTTTTCTCCAGGGGGGTTGGATAACTAAGCCCGGGGGGTTGGAGGTGCAATCTGGGGTTGTTTTTTTTTTTTTGCCCTTCTGAGCCGGGACTGCAGCGCCGCCGTGCTGGAGCATCCCATGGGTTTGGAGTGAGACGTGGTGGCCTCCGGGTTTGTCCCCGTCCCCGGGGCGGCCGTGTCGCCCTCGGTGTGTCGCGGTATGACTGTGCCACCCCCCCGCCCCCGAAAGCACCTCTGACTGGTTTGGGGACCAGTTATGACTGGACCCTTTTGACGCAGCGCCACAGAAAGTCCTTTCTGAAAACCTCAGCCCGATTTCGCTCTCAGCCACCAACCCCAGGCTTCGCCTCTCGGGGCGGAGGAGCTCGTGGGCGCTCTGCTGGGGCGGGGGTGGGGGGGAAAGGATGGAGAAGGAGGGGAAAGGATGGAGAGGGAGCAGACCCTCTGCCCCGCGTGGTTTTTCCTAGATCCCCGTATCTCCTCGCATCTTTTTGTCCCGTGTCTGCCCGAGGTGTTTTTGTTTCCCTTGCTGGGCCGGCTCTGCTGACGGCGGTGGGATTTCGGATGGTCGCTCCGCCCCGGCCGGAATCCCTGTTTGCCTTCCCGGAGAGATCCAGAGGCTGGAATATCGCGAGGGCTGTGTTTCATTCAGCGGCGAGGAGCAGCAGTGCTGCGGGGCCGTCCCTGGGCAGGCGGCGGGTGCTACTCCTGCGCTACTACAGCGTGAAAACAAAACACGTCCCCGAGCCAAGCGGCGCTGCCTTGGCTCCCAGAGACATTTTCCAGTCAGGTCGGAGCCAGGCTTTTTATTTAATTTTTTTTTTTTTTTTTTTTTTTTACTGCCCCGCTAATCCTTTGAATATTCGGAGATTGGAAGCTGTTCCCTTGTGATTCCTCCGAAGCTGTCGTGCCAAAACACTGTTTTGTTTTGTGCAGTGGAGGTTTTTTTTGTTTTGGGTTTGTTTTTGTTTGGTTTTTTTTGTTTTTTTTTTTTTTTTTGATTGTATGGGGTTGTTTTGTTTTTTTTGTTTTTTGTTTTTTTTTTTTTTTTTTTTTTTTTTTTTTTTTTTTTTGTTTTTTTTTTTTTTTTTTTTTTAATTTTCTTTTTAGTTGGTTTTTTTTTTATTATTTTCCTTAAGGCTGTGATTCCTGCTAGGATCCTGCACTTGGGCTTGCAGGAGGGGGGATGAGGTGGTGCCAGTACTGTACGTGGTCCTGCCTCCTTTTTTCCCCTGGCTGTTTGAGGGATTTATCATGTGTTTAATAACTTCTTAAGATGGAGACTGAAATAATTATGTATCACACAGTGTAGTTAATACATTAACTCTTTTTCCACTTACAAACCAGCACTTGGTTTTGCTGGGAATGTGGTTTCTCCACACACAAATCCAACTGTGGCTTTCTCCTCCTTGTGACAAACCCTTTTCCTTTCCTTGTTGGGCACTTCGCGATGACTGGGAGCAGAAATGTGATAATTGGCTGAAACTATCCAGACAGAGGGCTTTTAAGGTTAGGGAAGGAGCTGCTGCTGTGCCTGCAAGGAAAGAAAGTAGCTGAGAAAGGAGGGGGGAAGAGGAGGTTTGGTGAGGGAAGTAAACAGGAGAGTGGCATCCTGGCTTTTCTCCCTGTTCAGGAGGGGACCAAAGCTTGGAGGTGCTCCCAGGGAAAGCCTGGAATAATGAATAAATAAATAAATAAATGCTTAATAATAATAATAACAATAATAATAATAACAATAATGGGAATGATAAGGAATAAAAGCCCGGCTTGTGACGACAAGTCCCGTTTGTGCCGCGGAACATCTGGCACCTGGATGTAAGAATCAGGGCACAGCCATAATAAAAAGCAGCAATAAAATGGCAAGATTGGGTGGACTGCTGTGAAGTGTCGTTGTTCCTCCCTTCCCAACACTCCCGTTTTTCCCCGTGCAGCTTCCCGGTGGCACTCGGTGGCCGAGGACGTGCAGCCCGAGGTCTGGATCGCGCAGGAGCTGCGGCGCATCGGGGACGAGTTCAATGCCTCCTATTGTCCACGAAGGGTAACTTTCCCCTCTCTCTCTCTCTTTCTCTCTACTTTCCATTTCTTTTTACGCATTTCTCTCTGAAAGGGAAAAGCTTAATCATCTCTGGAAACTGCTGCGGTGAGCGCCGGGTGCACTCAGATGGAGAGAGGGCTGCGCGGGTGGCGGTGTCGGCCCGGCGTCTGCGGCTGCCACGCTGTCGAATCAATCAGAAATAACCTTCAGGTTGGGGCTGGAGGCCCTTTGCGGGGAGAAGTTGGCAGGAGCTTTTCGGGGCCGGTGCTGGTGGCTCGGGCCTGGACCTGATGGTAGCGAGGAACGGGCTTCTGAGAGTTAGGCAGGGGAAGTTTGGGGGTGTCAGCGTCAGGCACTGTTGCTTTCAGGGAGTGAGCGCAGTGGGATTCTAATCCCAGCTCCCAGATCCCTGCTGCTGCCGTGCTGGGAAGCTGCAAAGAGGAAACTTGGTCTGATAACTTATTTTTCTTGCAAAGACTCTGTTTTGAAAGACGGGTGTTTATAAGACCATAAACCGGCTCACCTCGGAGTGTTGCAACAGCAATCGATGCGCTAATGCCAAAAAAAAAAGCAGGGACCCAACCCCAAACCGACCCAGCCCGGGGGGGTGAAGCAACAGGAGTTTGCAGAGGAGCCTCGCCGGCGGTGACTCCGAGTGTTCCCGACGGCTGCGTGTCCGTGCTTGTGGTTCCTGGTCCGTGGATCTGTGGGAAGAGGAGCCGGGAGCGCGGTTTGGGAGCAGTGTTGGTGACGGAATGCCGGCTGCCTGGATCCTTATCCGTCCTCCCCATCTCCTGAGTCACTCCTGCAGTGTTTCCTCACCTCTCCCGGGGTCCGGAGGGTTGGCTTTCCCCCAAAAGGGGGGTCCAGCTGCCACGATCCAACTTTCTGCATCGTCTCCATCTGCTCCATTCTCCTTCCAAATGCTCCGGCTCTTCAGACCTGCAACAAACTGTGATGAGCTGTGCTTTGTCTTGAAGCCAGAATGTGCATCTTCTGACCTTCCCCCCCCACCTCCAGGCTTATCCCTGGAGAAGCCACTTTTTGGGTTAGAAAGGACATCTTTCCAAGGAAAGGGAGGGACCAGGCTGTTCAGGAAGCTGGAGGCACCCGGTAGCAGTCAGCTGATCCAGAAGAGCTGGTGGAAATGTGGAAAGCCCTGCCACATCATGGAATATCCTCAGCTGTGAGGGATCCACAAGGATCAAGGAGTCCAACTCCTGGCCCTGCCCGGACACCCCATCAATCCCACCATGTGCCTGAGACCATTGTCCAAACACTCCTTGAGCTCTGCCAGCCTTGAGGCCGTGACCGCTGCCCTGGGGACCCTGTGCCAGCGCCCAGCCACCCTCATCCCTTCTCCCATCTCCCTCCTGCCTCCCAGAGCAGTGCCTTAAGTTTGGCAGACCTCGTGTGAACAGGTTTGTGAGGAACAGGAGCACCTGGTGTGAACGGGTTTGTGAGGAACAGCAGCGTCCTGCCCACGTTATCCCGTGGGGACCAGCCCCCCTCGCTGCCGGAAATGCGCTCCAGGCATATCCCGAGATTCCAGCCCCCTGCCCCTGGGGAGAGAAGCGGAACGCTGAGGACACGTCCTGCTCGCTCCATGGCACGAGCAGGGGACGACCCTACAAACACTCTGGACCTGCCTTAGTCAGCATCTGCCCAGTTCTCCCCCTCGTTGCACCCAAAACTGGGGAGGTTTCAGAGCCTTCCAGCGGCGGCTGCGGAATTATCCCCCCCGAGGCGCGGAGCTGTTGCCTCGTGGGGAAGGTGTCTCTTCCTCCTGGAAGCGTTCCAGCCGCTCCGGAGCCCCTGGGGGTGGGAGGGGAAGGTGGGAACGGCTCGTGCCCGCCGGGCCCCGCCCAGCTGGGCTCTGCCCTTCGAGGCTGAGGTTAGAAATGGGGAACTGGGGGCCGTGCCAGAGCGGCACTCGCCGGGCAGGTCGGGGCTGTCGGACGGGTCGGGGCTGCGCGTT